GGGAAATCTTGACTGCCATGCTGAGGATTATTTAATTAAATGCCCGGACAGCAGAGTAACAGCTCAAGCTGGCTGCCTCTGGGGAGGGACCCAGAACAAAAGAATTCTTAAGAAAAGTATTTTTCTTTTTAACATTTTTTTTCCCCCCCCTGCCAGTGAAAGTCTCTTCCAGTCTTCTTTACCGAGTCGGTGGTGTCTTTCCCTCTGATTGGTTCACGTCTACATCCCGGGACGGTTGCTAGACGGTTGCTATGTTCCTGCTCCACTGTACCTTATCTTATCCGAAGGTCAGCCGTTACCTCTGTTCATTCTGGTCACTCTGTTGTGTATCGTTGAGGGCTAGTTCTAGCTGATTTTGCAGTCGCATTGTCAGCAATGTTCTTTGGGTTACAGTTCAGTCCCACGGCCTGCAGGCGTCACGTGCTGTAGGCACTTATGCTAAGCAAGAGTCAGACTTATGCTAAGTTGAAGCTAGGTCGGCTACAATTTCCTTCTCTAACACACAGGCTGGACAGCGCCGTGAAGGTGGGGAGGGAGCTAGCAGTGCTGCTGAATGGTTGGGAAGTGGGGACGGGAAGGCTCCTGGCTCTGAGACCAGTGCCTTCCCAGTGTTGTCGCAGAAGCTGCCTGAGCACCCCTGAGATTCGGTCTTTCAGGTTTCTGCACTTGTACGGGTCCCATTTGGTGCTGCAGAGCAGGGACAGACCAGCCTTGAGAGGTCTGGAGAAGAGCGCTGGAACATGAGAGAGAAATGGGGGCTCCCTGTGGGAGCGTGTACTGCACAGGCTGCCCTGCTCAACTCTGTGTCCTTGTGACAGAGCAGGCTTTGTAGTAGGGACTAGACGGCCGTGTAGAAACGTGCGAGTATCGCTTTGTTTTCTCCCTTATGCCTGCAGGATAAGGACTGGTCATCCCAGGAAGTGGGATGCTGTTGTTTAAGGAGCTCATAGCCTGTATGTGCTGCTAGATGAAGCCCAGCAGCAACTGGAAGGATGGTAAAGCTTTCTGATTCCTGAGGCCTGAGCTGAATTGACCAGTGAGGTCTGTGGGTATGGCATGAGGTGAGAATGAGAATAAGGGTCTTTCCTATTCTGAGATAAGTTCTGTTTACCCTTCAGCTAAGTAGAATCATGAGAACATTCCCAGAAGGAAATCACTTCTCTATTAAACTTCAGACGTGGCTGTGTAGACTTGACTGAGTTTGGCCAGTACCCATCCTTTTTTAGACGTCCTCCAAGGAAGCAGGTGGTTAAACCTCCTACCAGATGGAGAGAAGCCTGAACTAAATGCTTGGATATGAGCTCCATCGAATGGGATTTGACTAGATCTCCCTGTGAGTTTGTAGCTCACTAGGTTTTGCCCAGCTTAGTTTTGACTCTGAATGAATCTCCTCTGCCTCTGTCCTACAGTTGGATGTAGAACAGTTGTTTTGCAGCTAGGAAATGAAAGCATCTTCTGCTTTGTTTAGTGGAACCGTGCTGGTGGAGGGAACGGGGTCTGGGTGGGAAGGGAAGCTCTTTATGTAATAAGACAGCTACCGTATTTCAGTGATAAATGTGTGTTTCTGCTTGCCAAAGTAAGTTATCTTTTACTCACCACGTGTAAGGTTGTGGTTTTTAGTAGAGCTGGACAGTCTCACTCTGTTGTAGAGGACACTAATGACCTCATCTCTGCTGAATGCTCTTGTCACACCATGTTTCTGCTCTGTAATAGTGAAGACGTGGCTTGCTCTTCTTTACATGAGAAGTCTGTGCCATGGGCTGGAGCCATGTCTTCCTGAGCCTGAAGCAAAAGCTTACTTTAGACAACTACCTTGTTAGGTCAGGGAAAAGGGTGGTAACCTGCTCAGTGTCTCACAGGGCAAAGGAACCTGGATGTTACTTTTGACACTGACTTACTCCCCCCTCTCTGTCGGGGGAACCACCTATGCTGTGGCAATAACATGATCTTTTGGAGACAAGTGAAGCTCCCACGGGGAGCCTCTGGGGATAGCGGACTACCTTTCCATGGCTAAGCTGAGCACAGCAGCACCTTGACCACCCTCTGCTTTCCCTTACCTCCCTGCTGTCCTGAGATTTTTTTTTTTTCCCCTTGCATATTCTTCTTGATAGTAGGCATGTGGTATTAAAAGAAACCAAGTGGATGAGGATGCCTCTGCATTCCAGGAATGGTTCATTTACTGGCCGAACGGCATCCCTGCTGGATATAAGATAATTGTCTGAAAAGACAATGCATCATAAGGAGACTTCTATTCAACATCTGTTCCTGGAGTAACAGAAGCTCCCAGAATGCTCCTGGAGGGACTAATTGGAAAATGTGCACGATCCTATACATTGGGGTTTTTTCCTGCTTTACTTTGTGCCCTCTCTCCTGTGTCCCTAGTTATGAAACCAGAATTTAGAAATTATCCCCATTTTTACTTAATCTAAATAGACCATTCAACCTGTTACCCACTAAGCCCTCTGTTTGTCTGGGGTGGAAGAGATGTGCTGAGCATCTTCAGAGAGAAGTTGAAGCATAAGGTCACTCCAGGACAAGGTTCTACAGAAGAATGTCATTAGCATGGCAAGGGGCAGACACTACTTGAGCTGTTATGTCTCCCTGAGCTGGGTGGTTCTGTTCAGTGCTTGGGTCGTTCCCTCTCTTCCAGGCAGATAATCAGGCTGGGGGGGAGTGTTCAGGTACTAAACCAAGCAGTGCAACTTGTAATTAAGCCTCTGCTGTGTTTACATGTTTCTTAATTCATCGTCTTTTCAATGGCTGTATTTTAAAACTTGGGTTTTTTGTCTCTCCAATTAAAAAGAGCCATCCCCGGCTTTCAAATGCTGTGCATGAGTTTGTCTGATTTGGTTTATATTACCTGTTTTGGGTCTGGGTTTTCTAGGGTGTCCAGACGCTTTTAATTTAGGATACACTTAGGGCCTTGCTCTCCACCCCTCCAAACATGCTTCAAGAGTCTATCTTTCGTTATCTTTATAAATACTTGATCTTTCTTTAAGCTGTGCCGCTGCTTATAAGCCATGGGGGTGGACGACCCATACAGCTATTAAAAATTAGCTAGCTAGTACTGACATCAGAGAAACAGAAGAAAACAGAGCTAACGTAACATGGGTATTTTTCTGTCTGCAGGAAGTTAACGGTGATCTGCTTTGCAGCAATCAGGGTGGATGTGTCGTCGTCTTGCTCTAGACAGAAGCTTAATGATATGTTTCTGCAGAAAAATTTCCCTCTGCCGTATGTAGAACTGCATCAGCCCCTGTAATAAACATCCTCAAGCAAGATGCACCCACTTCCTCTTTCCAGAGATAAATTGCAGGATTTTTCCACTGCTAAAAATTGAGTAGCTGTGATTGATTCTAAGAGGCTTTATTTAAAAATAAGCAAAAATAACAGTGTCGAAGTAAGGGACATGAAGCTTTGAATCATGTGCAGGCCTGTTCTTGTTGCTGTGATTAAGCGAGTGAACTTGAGGATTATGCTGGTTTAGGAGTAGGGAGAAGCTGGTTGGGCGGAAGCTGTGCTGCTGTCAGTTTCTTAATGTGGCTTTTCCTCTTCCAGGCTCAAGACAAAATCAAATTCCTCTGCGTTGAAAAGGTAAGGAAGAAAGAGTCGTAAGTGGAACTTCCTAGCTCTCTGGGTGAGGGCTGCCTCTCGGAAGCAATGGCACCAAAAGTCTGGAGAAGGGGAAGGTTCTTACCTTGTGTCAGTGGTTGGATGGAAAGACGTTGTCTTGTGAAGAGCATCATGTTCTTTAGGGGGCCTCCATCAGCTTTATGTGCCAGGTGGTGGGCCTTGATTTCAGAAAGGGGGATGAAACGTTTTGTCATCCGCACAAACTGGACATCCACCTGGGAAGTGATGGGCAGCAAAGGAGAACGGTTGGCGTGGCTGGAGAAGCATATGGTCTCTAGGTGTCACAAAAGACCTTGGGGAGGGGGGTTAAAGATCTTCAACTGAAGCAAATGACTGATGTGTAGTATTTTATAGCGGTACGGAAGCTCTTCCTTGCTCAGGGCTACAAGAGCTTTCAGACGCTTCTGGCAGGCCACTTGTTTACATGGATCTTAGTGCTGTCTACTGACAATATACATTCATGTGGCCACAAACGGTACAAAATGAAGATGATGTGGGTTACAAACAGTCTGAGAACAGTCACTTCCCTATAATTTACTGTACCTCGAAACTACAGCTTTGTTTGCTGTAGACCCAGAGTGGGGCTTGAAGATGTTGATTGTCTTTCCTAACTCACAGTTCTGCAATGCAGGGAGGTCAGTTCTGCATGCAGGTAAGATTTGAAAGTTTAGGGAGATCCATTTGGGCAGCCCCGTGGACAAGACAGGGGAAAAGGCAGAGAAAACGATCAGGACTGGATTTTCTCTTGGGAGAGAAAGGTAGCTAGGCTGGGAGAGAAGTTTAAGATGATCTATGATATCATGAGAGGAGGCTCCTAACTCAGCTGGGCTTACACCCAGCTTGAAACAGCTGTATTTTGTTTACTACATTACCATGGACCATTTGGGGTTCTCTTTTCTGCTGGAGGAATCATAATGAGGATCCTTCTGATCAAACTGTGTGTGATCAGGGTATGCCTCCTTTACGATCTGAAGCAGAAGGAGAGAAGAATGTGAGACACGTTCCTGTCAGTTAAATATTGTTGTCAGCAAAGAGTATGAAATGCCCCTATGAAAGCTGTGACTAGACCTAAGAAGTAATTCTGGTGTAAAAATCAGCCTTGCTTCCCCTGAACTCCATTCTAACCACATAAGGCATTTCCTTCCTTCATGTTTCTTGACTCGAAGCACTCCAGAACAGTGTGGATGTCACTGAAGCACCATCACCTCTTTGGAGAGCAACGTGGAAGGAGCACATGTAGCAGAGGAAAACCAGACACATGAGGATAGTATCTGTGACGAGTGCTCCTCTTAAAGTTTTTCTGTGCCCTAGGGTTTAGGCCACTGCCTTGCAGGCTCAGCTTAGCAGAACTTAGTCACATTTTAATCAGATGCCCTGAGTGTAGAGCAACAATTGACTTGGCTGGAAGCACTCTGAAATGACAGCAGGATCACAGCAGTTTGGTTCTATCTCTCTGGGGAAAGAAGACTGGCTGAGTCAGCTCTGCTGTGATATGTACTGTTGAGCCTAAATGCCTTAGGCTCCGATTAGGCTTCTCTTGCGCTCCTTTTGTTCCGAGACAGAGGTAGAGCCAATGAACTGTTTGATAACCCACAGGTGATTTTTTTTTTTTTTTTTCCTCTCTGAAACACAGAACGAGCAAGCAGCTCTCACCTTGACAATGCCAACGATCCCAGGCTCTTTACAGTTACTGTGATAGAAGAAGGCCTGCTGCCCAAGTTTCATCGCCCTCAGGAAATTCCGTGCCTGTCAGATTTAAACAAGAGACTGAGCCCTTTGTAGGGGACATGGCAGGCCCTCTCAGGGCTTCATTATAAACAGCTGGAAACAGGAACAAACAACAGGAGCAGGATATGTGCTTCAGCACTACTCAGATAAGCTTTCCTACAGATGTTTTATGCTGCAATGAAGTGAAGTAATAACAAGGCTAAAGAGCCAGATCTCGCTGGTTAGAAAGCACGCAGGAATTTAGCAGCTTGGCCACCCTCGTTCAGAGATAGCAGGAGACTTAAGTTAGCGGTCAGCAAACAAGCAGCAGAGCTGGTCTCATTTAGGCAGAGGAAGTGTATGTGGATCTCCTTTGCACGTGAAGGCTGGAACAGAAAGCTGTACATTGACAAGGCGTAGTATTTGGGTGCGCAGAGACTTGCGGGAAGGTGTCAAGGGAAATAAAGGCTGGTGATCTGTTTGAACCCCTTAGAGACCAAACTAAAGAAAAACGGAGCGATTTGACAGAAAATTACCTAGCCTGAATGAGACGGGCAAGAAGTTTTCGAGGTAGAGGCAATTAAGCGCATATACTCTGGTCAAAGTGCAATTGTTAAAGCAGGCAGCAAGCACCAAAAGGAACCAACTTAAGCACTGTAACAGGTAAAGGGGACAAGTCATCTGTTGGGGAAAAAAGGCACCTTTCATTTTCTGTGTGTTTTCTCCTGATTTTTCAGTGATCCCATCTTTAACACCAGATCCTGATCCTTACCTGGTAGTTTCTTACTCCATCCCAAAAGGTTGTCTGATTGGGCTGAGCCTTCAAGTCTTCAATGCTGAACTGCCAAATGGAATGAAAACACAGGTTAAGTTCAGGTGGCAGTCTGGTCTTTTTTTTTTGTCTTACTGTCTACGTTTTGCTTAAACATTTGTTTCTAGTTGATCCTTCAGTTATAGTACAAACCTCTCAGAACCTTTTAGTTCCCACAGGGTCTACAGAAAGGACTTCATATACGGGGAACACTGCAGCAGTGTAAAGGCAGAGTCTGAAATAGATGCTGTCCCTGCTACGAACACTTAAACATCCCAAGGACCTGATTTCCTCTCCTACTACAAGGATCAAGCCCTAAGAAGCTAGGGTTGTGCTAGAAGAGAATAGCATTACAACTTTCTATTTCCAGGAAGACAGATGATTGCTGAGTAGTAGTAAAGAAACGCAATCATGTTGATACTGCGAACAATCAGAGTTGTCTGATCCTATAACTCAAGTGTTTAGGCACTAATGCTCTTGTTAGATGTGTAACTGCTTCCACACTTAGCTGCTGAGTAAGAACACTAGAATGGGTGTCAGTGCTTACTTTCATATCCACTCCCTTCTCGAGCCTGCTCTCTGGCTCCGATTTCAGAAGCCAGTGACAATACGTTTGCTTGCTTTCCTCCCCACCAGAGTCGGATTCTTTTGCCTTTTTCCAGTTCTTCCATCCTGACTTGGAACTCCCAGCTGGAGGTTTTGTGGACTTCTCCTCCTCTTCCTCCGTTTTCTGAGTTTCCTCAGTTTTGGCTACTTTAGCATCAGGCTCCTTTTTGTCTTAAAAGAAACAGCAAAAAAGAACCATTCAGGTAAAACACATTTTGTTTCTGATAAGAACTGGTGCTGAAACAATTTTATTGTCCAAGATGGTTTCACATGCCTGCAGCAGAAGTTTGGTGGGCCTCAGATGCTAGGTTTAAGGTATTAGCATTTGTCACCAGGGTTACTGAGTATTTCTAACTCATGTCTGAAATGAGGATTTTTTTGTGGTGTGCACAAACATAGTTTTTAATACATAACTCTGCTTATACTTGGACTTACCAAAAAAAGTTAGGAGAGAACATGCTGCCCCAGTGAGATGTAGTTGATTTTTATTATTAATAGCAGAGCTGCAAGCAACAAAGTTGATTTAAGTGAATTTGTTGAATAATAGGAAAATTCAGCGGCAAAGCAAGCTATTTCAATTGCTGCAGTAGCTGTAAGCCTTAGATTAAGTCTCCACTGCGCTAGGGGTTCAGAGGTGGTCCATATCCCTGTTTGTCCAGGACTCGGACAGCAAAAAAAGTTAGTGACAAGTGATTAAAGGGTAAGAAGATAGTTATTTGCTGGAGTGCCTGCAGCAGGTGAGTGGGACAGACAATTGTGTAATTCCCCGTTTGTGCCTCAAGCACCAAATAACGTTGCCTCAAGTACAAGTCTTTTGTTGCAAATGGTGCCACATCATCTTCCTGCTGTCATGCTGCTACCATACTGGTATACTTTGAGATCATCCCTAACATGTAGGATCCAAAAGCTCTTCATGAGTAAGAATGAGTTACATTGCTTAACTGTCTTGTGCTGAGAATATCTCATTGTCCCTATCGTACGTCTGGTAGGCTTGTCTCAGTCACACATGGACGCTCAACCCATTTCTACAGAGGAAATGCTCTCCGTGAGACACGTTGCTCTGAAAGACAGGCACTTAAGATGACTGTCTGTACTTTCACTACAGCCTGGAGCCTCAAATGAGAAACGCTGAATTAGTTAGGATGTCTGCACAGACCTGCTACTGCTCCTTTGTCTCTCTTTCTGCTTGGCCAAGGCATCTCTGATCTCTTCAAATTATCTTCACTGAGAAGCACCTGCTGAATGAGAGAAGGGAGAAAGAATTACTGCTTACTCAGGCAAGCTGAAAAAAAGGACAGTGATCTGAGACAGAGGCCAGTGAAAGCTGTACAGTAAATGGAGAGTAGACACATTTCCTTCCTTGAGCTCAGCCTGGGCTCTCTCAGCACCATTTCCTGCATCAGTGCAAATCCTGGCACTGGTTGAGCACCACGCCCTTGGCCTGTTGGAGGCAGGCAGGCCGGCCTCCATAGCAGTGCTCTAATGGACGTTAGCAGAAGGGCTGCTTTTCTCCTCGGCAGAGCAGCTGGTGCAGAAGAGTCCCGAAGGTGCTTGGCCTAAGCGTGGACGTTCCCTGCTATGCAAGGGGAGCTGCACTATAGAGGAAGTGAGAACAGCTTGTTTCCAGAGCTTGGTCCAGCCTCGCTCTGGGGGTGTCTGGCTCAGCTTGCTGCTCAGGGATATGCATGCAAAAGCCCCTTGAGAAAAGGGAGCAAGCTGGCGGGTCCGACCCCTGCCCCCATCTGCCAGCAGCCCCTGTCAGAAGTTTTTGGCTCTGACTCAGCCACCTCCTGCCAGAGCGGGTGGCATCAACTTTTTCCATCTTCTGTGCCAAGCTTCTCCCATCCCTCCTGCCCCAGGCCCAGACTCCCCCTCACCAGCTCTGGTTGCGGCTGCCCCCTCTCCTGGGATTGAGGGAAAGGATGCTCCTGCCTTGCCCAAGCTTCAGCGCAGGAGGAGGAAACACGCCGTCCCCCACCCAACTGGAGTCGGAAGTCAGTAACCGTTATGCAAAAAAGGCATTGCCTTTAAGGCTCGCCTCCCTCCCCGCAACCAATGTGTAAGCCGGGAGCGAGGACTACAGCTCCCAGCGTGCCGCGCC